AGAACAGTCTTGGGTAAACTGGAACAGTTGCCTACCCCACACTGAGAACTTATAAGGTTCCAGAATATTCTGATTTGCCCCTGCGGCTCTTCATTTCATCCTTTTTTAAACTGGGTGTAGTGGGTTGAAGAGTAACCCACCCCCACAAAAAAAGTATGTCCACCTCCTAACACCTGGCACCTGGGAATGTGACCTTATTTGGAAAGGGGGTCTTTGCAGATGTAAATAAATTAAGGATCTCAAGATGAGACGATCCTGGATTAACCAGGTGGGCCCTAAATCCAGGGACAAGTATCCTTATGAGATGGAAGAGTAGAAGGCTTGTAAGAATGCAGGCAGAGATGGGGGTGATGGGGCCGCAGGCCCAGGGACGCCTGGAGCCCCCAGAACCTGGGAGAGTCAGGAAGGACCGTCCCCTGGAGCCTCAGAAGGAGCTCAGCCTGCCAGCACCTTGATTTCAGACTTGTGGCCTCCAGACTGTGAGAGAATAAATTTCTGTTGTTCTAAGTTTGTAGTCATTTGTTTCAGCAGCCCCAGGAACCTTATACACTGGGCACGTACGTTTTTATACACTGCTTTGTCTATGTATATTTTAAAATGAAAAGAATCGTGTTCACCCCCTCCTGTCCTTCCAGGCAACAGCGCGGATGCCGCCCCCTCACCGCCACCAATGCCCCCGACTCCGCAACTGGTCTTCAGCCCATGTTCGAAACGCCCCTGTTTTGGCTTCTCCTATGAATATGAATAAATGCATCTAATCTTCCCTCCTGGATGTAAATACCCTTGAAAGCACTGACCAAGCCCTTGGCAGCCCACACAGCATCAAAAACATCAGTGCTCGGTCAACGTCGAGGGCGACACCAGGTCGGGTGAGACCCTTACACACACCAGATACCAGGGCACCTGGAAAGCCACACCTGGTCCTTGACAGGCAGCCCGGAGCCAGTGAGCTGCAACCCCAGTCAGACCACCTGCAATTTCCAGCTCGCGTGCTGAGCCCTGCAAACGAGCTGCCCCTGCGGCTCCTGGACCTGGCTCCTCTTCCAGAGGCCCGCGTGGACCCGTCAGCCTGGGCTCCCCGTTCCGACACCCGGCCGTGGACTGGGGCCCCACCCTCAGCGTGGCCTTGCAGCCGCGCTGCACTGTCCCTACCGGACGCCTCCCGGACACCGCCTCTGGGTCTGAGCCAGGTCTCCGCCTCACTGGGCCCACCTGGCAGCTTCTTTCCCACAGATCTCATCCATATGTGGCCACTTATAAACCCAGCTTCTGGAAACACCCTGAGGCAACCCTGCTGTTTCTGTGACTGGTCACCTAGGTGCATGAGACCCAGGAGTGGACTTAGCTGAATCATGAGCGTCCAGCGGCGGCGGGCGCCTCGTGTCTCCCGGCAGACTCCTGTGACCAGCCCGCGGGGTCCCGAGGCTCTGGGTCTCCGTCTGCTCTCACCGGAGTCCCCAGCTTAGGCAGCCCGCGCATAGTTACTGGGACTTGCCAGAGAGGCTGACACACCTCAAATCTGTCTCCCAAAGGCGGCAAGAGCAAAGGGCTGTCGGACCCAGAGAAAGTGCGGCAAGCTCAGGACCGCCCCCCACCGCCACCATCAGCAGAGCGGCTTCCATCCCCCAGACCCACTCCCATCCTCTCCTGTAGACTCTGCAGAGCAGGTCTACACCTGCTGCATCTCCAGGCTCCAGGACCCCATCCAGCTGGGATCAGCCACTGGCAGCCCTGCCAGGAGACAGGAGGGAGGGAGGGAGGAAGGAGAGCGAGGTTGGGGTATTCATTCCCTCTCCCCACCTCTGCTCTCTCCCTGCAGGACGCTCTGGAGCTAAATGCTTCCCCTGGTGAGGACGAAGCTGCTCCAAGCCCCCGCCCCCGCGTGCATTTCCATCCACGGTTCTCTCCCCTTCCTGTCTGTTCCACCCTCCCACCCTCCTGCTGACCAACCTCACGGCCCCACCTCGCGGGCGCTCACTGCTCCATCCCTGCACTCTGCCCACCTTTAAGTTATCCTTTCCTTAAGACTCCTCTGAAATCACGCAGTCTGAGGGTGCATCTGTCTGCCTCCAGGACCCGGCCGGCCCAACACCCGCGATGTCTCCAAGACACACGGCAGGGGTCCACCGCCCTTCCCAGCTCCCAGACCAGTGGGGCACCAGGCAGAAAGCTCTAGAACTAGGTGCCAGGACTGACATATCCAAGGGCCGGACTTTGAAATACAGCCTCTATGTGGCGCGAGGGCCCGGGAGCCCTGGGCTCTGATGACGCGTCTGCGCGTGCCACCCCAGGGCCAGGATGCCTGGGGCTCCATTTAGGGCTCCATCCCAACCACATTAACCAGGAGAGCAAGGCCAAGCCAGTCAGGTGCATCCCAGGACCCCTGCCCCTTCCCCAGACACCCAGGTCCTCAAACGGCTGTTCCGCAAAAAAACCTGCGACCGCAGCTCAAACCCCAACCAGCCAAGACGGCCTGGGCTGCTGAGCAGCGAAGACCCGAGGCTGAGTCACGGTCAGGCGCCAGCGAGCCACCCGCCTGCCCTCCAGTTACACCACAGGGCAGCAGGGGGGGCTTTTCCGGGACTCGGGCAGGACAGCACAAGTGGCGGCAGGACCACAGGCGCAGGGTTCAGCTGGGGCCACCTTTGCTCCTGCCCAGGAGGCACCGCTTACAACGCGAAAATGATGACATTGCGCTTTCAAGGCTGGGTGTCCAGTGGAGGGAACCGCAATGAAAGATTCTATTTTTCCCATTTGTCACTGATTTTGAGCAGCCAGTCGATGACACACACACACACACACACACACACACACACACACACACACACACCCACCCACCAGGGTCTAAACCCTGCCTGGCCTGGGCACCCACCTGACCACACAGACCGAGATTCCTCCCGGAAATTCGCATGTCAGTCAGGGTCCCCCTGGGACACCTGCTCTGGGGCAACGGGCAGGCCTGGAATCAAAATTATTTCCTGCCTCAAAGTCGGCGGGACATTTCTTGGGCCTGAAGCCACCGCTTGTTAACAGAGGTCGGACAGCACATCTGACTTCATGGCGAGAGTGACGGGCGGCTGTGACGTCATTTCCTGAGAGAAAAGGCTTCCGGCAGGGAGGTGCTGAGTCCAGCTCTTGCCCCCCTGGTCTGAGCAGACGGGTCACGTGGGCCCCCGGGCACTGCCCGTGATCGAAACTGCCGGAAGCTCATGCTTGGAGTTCCAGGTGTTACTGTTACTTGACAATAACCGCGCTCAGGTATTTGTGAGGATTTTAACAGTGAGGAGTGACTGCATCTGACAGCCTTGTGAGACGATCCCAAAGCTTAATTATCCGCAGGCGGCTAACCGGGTCTGCAGCTTTTAGTGAAATCGCGGTGGCTATGCTTACTGCGTGTTCCGGTTACGACCTACTTCAAGAAAAGAGTAGTAAACGAGAAATACAGCTGCTTCCATATACGGAAATGAGGTCCACAGAGAGCATATCTGTATCAAAGATGATGATTTTCAATAACAGAACAGAAAGGACAACAGCTCAGTCCAGGGAGCACCTACCGTGCGGCAGGCACGCGCTCTAAGTGCTTTACGTAATTCATCTCAACTAATCCTCCCGAAAAATCCATGAGACGCGTGTCACTGACATTTCCATCTTACAGTTGAGGAAACTGAGGCAGGGAAAGACGGAGCCCCGCTCGAGGGGTAGAGCTGCGATTCGACTGTGGCCGTCAGCCCTGATCGCTCACAGGTCTGGCCCACACTCTATACTGCCGATACCCTGAAATACCATGTGTTCCTGACACGCCTGGGGCCCGTGGGCTCCAAGAGCCCACAGCGATGGGAGGCAGAGTCACACACAAGCCAGCGTGGCATCGGTGCCCACGCAGCCACCAACCAAGGTGGCACCTGCGTCTCAGATTGGACCTTCCCCTCCTGGAGTCTGAATCGTGACTGGAGGCACCTGAGCCTATTCCCGGATCCAGCCCCGGTCTGCACCTCATCCTGGGCCCTTCCACTCACAGAACACACCAGCGGGACCCACCCCTTCACAGCGATACACGCACAGATGTAACTCCTCCGAGAAAGGGTCATCCCTTGAGACCTGGGAGCAGCCCCGCTGCTGGGCACACACAGAAATTGCTGAACCACCGTGCTCTGATGGCTCACTCTAGGCTCACCTAACACTGGTCCTTCTGGAGAGCATGAGTCTCCCGAGCTTGGAACAAGTCTCGTCTCGAGTGAATAAAAACAGGATCTGGTTAAACTCCTGCTTTGTGAACAAACAACGATAAGGCTGACCGAGAAAGTGGTGGAGAACAATGGGAATGTTCTCTCTCTGCTCAAGATAAATTGAGACAATAGCCTCGGCTGTCAGCAGGGGTGAGGCACACACGCGAGTGCTGGGCGTGCCATAGACCCTTCCTGAACCTCTTTACAGCTCTAGACTGACTCCCACCAGGGTTGTGAAGGCAACGACACAGCCTTCAGGGGTGCTTGGTCACGTGTCGTTCTTCACCCAATCAGAAGCCAGACCTCTGCTGTACTCCTGGAACGCTCTGAGTGCTTCCAGAAAACCCGGATACCAGGAAATCACCCCAGCACCTGGTCCTGAGAGCTCTCACGAGCTAGGTGGTCCACCTGCAGCCCCCGTTCCCTTCCACATGCCCTAGGCCCCTGCCCACCCCCGCCCAGCTCAGTGTGGCCACCTCAGAACCAGAGACTCTCCAGGCTTTGCAGTGGCCACAAGCCTCCCATTTCCCAACACCTGCTCCCAGGCCTCTCCGGGCAGCAAGGGAGGGGGAAGCACTCAGGGTCAGATGGACAGAGGGAGCGAAAACTTCTGGCTCTGCACCCATAGCCCCACTTCTGCCGCATATTTGGAAAGAACCAGCCCCCCAGCCTTTTGAAGTGGACAAGAGTCACAGGCTCTGCAGAAAGCACTCTTTCTGGAGGTACCGCTGACCTGGGAAGCGTCAACACTGGAAATGAGTTTTCCGTACTCACCATGCCGTGTGTCGGTGCAGCATACGGGGAAATCCATGGGCGGCATCAAAGTGTCCTGCAAAATGAAAAAGAAAATAATTGTAGAGTCCAAGCGAATTGCTATCGTAAACAAATTGTAATGATCTAATCCGTTTATCGAAAGCTGCATTTTCAGCACGCTCCCCTGCTCCTGAGGATCCATCACACGGTTCCAACAGCCAGTGCGCTTCCCCGCCAGCAACAAAGTGGTAACAGACCGACACCGGCGGATTGTATGACTATGCAAGTGATGTCATTTACTTTTAAAAGATGCCATCGATAATTCAGAAAAGGTATTGTGTAAGACAATACTGTTGTTTCAATTCCGAGACCCAAACCTAAGGAAACTCCGAGGGAAGTCCTGGGTGGATATTTCCCGGACATGGGGATTCTAGATTCACAGGGAAAAGCCACAGGGGCTGAAATGTGGAGAATTGATTTTTAAAACTCCCTCTCTTCCATCTGGTGTACTAAGGAAGCCATAACTGGAAAAGTTATTTTCTAAATGAATCTACAGAAGATACTTCTCTCCATCTTTACCCTCCTCTGACCACAAGTTGACTCTGTAGGGGAACAGGGTCCAACACCTGTCCACAGGCTCATCTGAAGGCAAAGAGCCTCTGGAGATGGCGGGGGGGGGGGGGGGGGGGGGGGGGGGGCGGCCAAGCATGTGCAGGTGGTGAATGCGCGTCCAGCCAGCTGAGACCAGGGCGGCACCGTCAGTCAGCGCCAGCAAGGTCACAAGCCGGGCCCTGTGTCCCATCATGAACCAAAGCCAGGGCTGCTCCACGTGCCGGAGAAGGGGCACCAGGCCCACACCTAGGCAGGCAGCGCCTGACCAGGGCAGAGCGGCCGATGAGCCAGTCTCAGACTTGTTGACGTTGGACCAGAAGAGAAGCAGAACCAAATGGTTAGTGATCATTACTCGTTTCATCACGACACTTGCAAGGTCGGAACATCAATAAATTGTTGATGGTGGAGCAGACAGCCCTGCAGCTGCCGTACAGCGCGGTAAGGGAAAGACAGAGGGTTCATCCGTTGGTGCCGTCATTTTCTGGCCTGAGTCAGGGCTTCCTGTGCTGGCCCAGGCGGGGTTGCTCTTCTGAGCTTGGGTGGGCTCGCTCTGAGCACCCCTGCTCGCCCCTCTCACCCGGGCCTGTGGGCATCACATAACTGCACAGGGCCTACTGGGGCCCTAGACCCCAAATCTAAGGGTTTCAATCCCTCCAGCTAGGAACAGTGTGAATGCTTGTTCCCACCCTGCACCCACGGGATTCCTGGCAGCTGACGATCCAGACTCCGAATCCCGCAGATGAAGGAAGAGGCTGCCTCCAGTACTGCTTTCCAGAAAGGTCTCTGCAAACAGGGCAGGAGGGCCCCGGCTGCTCTCCTGGAGAGATGACAGCTGAGGGGCGTGGCAGCCTAGGACATGCCTGAACGTGTTACCAGGGAAAAGGCACAGGGGGGGCCTTTCCACATCCACCAGCTGCTTCAGGACCCAGGCCGGCCAGCTCGGCCACTGCTGGGCACTGCACCCCTGCCCCGGCCGCTAGCACTTTTACCCGTGTCATATGACTTATTGCCCTGGCGAATTTGGCCTTCTCACTGGTCCCGATAGGAGAAGCTATGTGTTTCCCACAAAACCCCCCACGGTGCTGCGAGGGAGGGAAGGCCTTCCGGGCAGGTGGCCTGTCCCCCAGGAAGTACAGCCACTTGGTCTCTGCGATGCTTTATCTGCCCTTTGGAAACGCCCTGCTGCTCACAGTAGATACGGTGCAGCTGGCTCACTACGGGAGCCTAAGCGCTGTCCAGGCCCTGGCACATAGTAGGTGCTCAAGAAACATCAGCCGTCACAAACCACCCACCGGGCTGTGGCTCCGGCAGAGGCAGGGGTTGGGCTCAGTTCTACTTTGTGTTTAACATAACAAAAGGAGTAAACAGTAGAGAGATGAGTGATGACTGCAAACCACTATCTACATGCATTATGTTCGGTCACTATGTGTCAGAAAAGCACCTTCTTCGGTTTCATAACTAGTTTGCACTACGGAGCCCATCACATAGCAGGCCTGGCTAGCTCTTTGTTGAGCACTGAAGAGCAACTATGTTCCTACAACATGTGCACACACACATGCACACACATATATATACACACAAATCCGCATGTACACACACACGCACATGTGTGCACAAATGCACATTTATACAGACACATACACATATAGACACACATGTGCACGTGTAAATACACGTGCACACAACAGGCACTTGCACACACAAATACACGTGTGCACACACAAATACATATACATGCATGCACGCAGTCATATGCAGAAATGTGCACGCGTGTACACACGCATACAAGAACACACCTGTGCCCACACAGCATGCACACACATATGTGCACTCTGATGCCTACCTGTGGGTGCCCTGCCTTGCCTGCACACATACACATATGTGCACATATGAGGGCATGCACAAACATGTGCCTACAAGACACATGTGTGTGCATGTGTACATACAAATACAAACACACTTGTGTGCCCATACACATGTGCACGACATGCACACACACACACGCACACACACACATGCACGCACACGAAAGCCTCTGGTAAAAGTGCCTTCTCGTGGCACGATTGCTAAGATTGCTCTGGCTCGGATTTGATGCTGGAACCTACAACCAGACAACGGACCCTGAGGAACGAACCCTGAGGTTCTCCTCCAGCAGAACCCTAAGGCCAGGCCCCAGCCCTCTACTCCGCAGAAAGATAAGCGCCCCAAGGTTTGATTCAGACTAGAAAATGCTTCTTCTTTGTTATCTCTAAGCCAGTTTTCATTTCTCCATCTACATGGTAATATACCTCAACTCTGCTTCTCATAGAAATGTTCCAACACGCATGAAAGTAGAGAAAACGGCCTAACAATGCGCGTGGACCCATCACTCAGAACCTCACCCGCCCCACGCCTGCCTCCGCCTCCGTCTCCCTCCCCCTCCTATGCGGGGTGGGGGGGGTGAGGAACACAGAGGCCCAGACCGCGTCCGGAACCTCACAGCACTTAATTAACAGTAATTATTAAGTAATAACTTTTTTAGATGAGCTTCAAACACCCAACCACAGGCTCTGCCTCTGACCCCAGTAACTGGGGGACGCAGCTCTCGTCTCCCTCAGGCGCCCCCCAAAACGCTTGGCTTCATGGGAAGCTTAAGAAAGAGTCATTGGTGTTTGAATTCCAAAACATCCCACTGAAAACAGAGGAACATTCCTAAGGCATCGGTTCGTGAGTTTAGCAAGCAGACGTCTGAAAAGTTCCATTAAGTCTGAAAGTCTCATTTTTCAAACTCTTTTTTTCACTCCGCTTTTAACCTAAAGGACAGCACTTTGTTTCTAGAGTTCGAAGCAGCCTGGTTGCACGGGGCACGTGCCATCCCCCAGCTTGCAGTCGATCAGCCTTCTCCACTTCTGTGCGTTGTATGTGCAGAGCACCGCCTGACTCGCCACCTTCTTTGTCCCCCCAGAATGCAGGGGAGCAGCATTGGAAAGAGAAAGGGCTGCTGAGCTTCAAGACGAGGAGTGACGAAAGGCCCTGCGTTCAAACGCTCCTAAGTGTCACCTGAAGTCCACTCTCCCCACTTACGTCCATGGTGACAGGTGTGATGAGGCGCTTCCTCACTCAGAGCCCGTCTGAGCTGCTCCCTTCGAATGAACTGGCACCTGCCATGCGCTGCTGGCAGAGCACGGACAAGAAGGAGGACGGTTTGCATACGTGGGAAGCAGGGGGCCTGCGGAGACCCTCAAGAGGCACCGCGCAAAGCACAGCATCCTCTCCTTGCGGGGGCCAGACACACGCCCCCCGGCACCTGGGAAGCCGGTGGTGGAGCAGGGAGTGGCCCCCCATTTACAGAACAGAACCTGAGCTCCAGAGAGCACACTGCCCACCATGAACGGCGGGTGGGGGTCAGAGCCCTCTGTCCACGCCCCGTGTCCCAGGCTCCATCCCCAGCCACGTATCAGGGGCAGACAGGGCAGAGGTCTCAAAGACGAAGTCTCCTCTCCGCAGGCTGTGCTGGACTCCTTGCCCCTCCTGCTCTTTCTCCTCCAAGCACACACCTTTCGTGATGCTTTGTTCTTCTGTGTAATTTGGAAAATTACAAGAGGGTGGCTGGGACGTGGGGTGAGAAGAGGGGCGGGAAGTTCAAAGCACTTGGGTTAAACCAAACAAATCATAATGTGGCATTTCCAGCTACAGCATGAGCGTCTCCGGTTATGAGAAGGGACAGCTTTCATTGTCCTGGATTTATTTACCCTAGAAAATGCTTTGTCACGTGGGCCGCCCAGCTCGACTCTCCAGCTGTCTGACCTGACCCAGCAGTAGCTGGTTTTCCAGGGTGAGCCGCTGGCACTGCGCACAATTCTTAGGTCAAATTAAATATTCAATAAATCCCGGGTGCACTGAATCATAATGCTATTCTCATGGTAATTGGGCTTTACGTGGCTCAGAAGTTGTTCCTTAACCACAAATTCATTTCGAGTGATGCATCCAATGAAATTAACATTCTCCTGGTGGCTGGACATCATCCCTCATTCAAGACCGTGCCCCTCTACTTAACGGCACACTTTAAAAATGACGGTGCTGGTTCAGTCTGAGTGGTCCTCTCGTTCCCAACCCATCTTTACAGCTTTCAAAGAATGTTTAAAATTCCTTCAGCCGAGCCACAGGCGAAATGTGAATTTTTTAGGAAAGTAAACAAAAATCGCGATTTCCATCTGGGAATTAGCGAGGGATGAACAATTCATAGCTTGGTTTTAAAGTAATGGCTCCGGCACTGGCTTTGGTAGAAGCTCGAAAATGCAACCTGTGCTGACTTGGGAAAAGACTTTTTTTCTGTTTGGAAGCAAAGTGAGGTGTTTTGCAAAGCAAGTACCTTCTGCAGCCCGTGCAAGGCCTCCGGGCAGCCGGAGGAGGCCCTCAGGAAGGTCCAAAAGGGCCACTTAACCAGGGACATTGGGAGGGAGAAGACACCCCCCCAGGCCACGT